GAAAACTGAAGGAACTCAGACAACAAACTGCAGTCATGCAGGTACATGCGAGAACACACAGTGCAAGCCCTTTCCCTCACACACAGACACACACACTCGCCTTGCATGGATGCAGCCCCGATCTGTAACCACTTTCCATACAGTGTGTACACTGCTCTCAAGGACTCCTGTCCACTCACTTTCAATGAACTGTTGAGAGACATCCAGCATGCGGCAGTAATAACTGGGCTTAGTGGCTGCCAAGGGCACCGGCTAATAGAGCTCGTTTACCACAAACACACAGGTTCTCCAAGTAAAATGAAAATACACAGACGGGCAATACGGATCTCAACAGTCCTTTCAGTCTTGGAGGGTTTTGAATGAAGAGTTGCTGCAAAGTGGTTCGGCCCTAAAGTGGTTCAGTGGTGAGTATAGCTGCCTTCCAAGCAGATTACCCAGGTGGGGGCGGCTGTGGCTCAGGAGGTAGAGTGGTCGTCCGCCACTTGGAAGGTCGGCAGTTTGATTTCCGTTCTCAATCCACATGTCAAAGTGTCCTTGGGCAAGATACTGAACCCCAAGTTGCCCCCAATAGTCAGAGTTTGTGTGTGTGAGTTGGCGCCGCAGATGGCTGCCTCGGTTCTGTACCAGAGACAAATTCCTTGTGTGTTGGCCAATAAATTATCATTATCAAATTTTCCCTAATATAATGAGACAGCTGGAAGATTCAGGTTAAGTCTAAATGTAATTTAAAAGTGACTGGCTTTGCTGGGACTACAACACTGAATTAAAATGAAGTGAGTGCACACAGTGGGAGTGAAGCTAGAGTCTGTTTACAAGCTACTAACATGCAGTTGTGGCTGTGTCTTATTCTGACTGTTTTCTTGTTATAGTACAGAATCTATGACAAGAGGTGCGAAACCTTTTGCGGTAATCTCTGTTTTCTGTTCTCTCTGTTTGTAGCTGCTCTTTATCTGGCAATGTGTGACTACAAGTTGTATGAAAGGTGCGAGAACACAAACAAAACAAACCCTTTCAGTCTTAGTTTGGTGTCAGACGGAGTTGCATGTTGAGATATTGTTTACATTGGAGCTAGAATTATAATTTGGGTGATTTCTGGACTTAATATAGTACACCATCAGCTACAGTATGTGCAAAAGCCAGACAAACATCGCACCCACAGCTTGGCTGGTGCTGCTTCTCAATATCCCATCTTGCTGCAACTTACTCTCTTGTCCCCTTTCCTTGTTCTTCAGCAGCTGCAGCTTCTGCTCTCTCTGCTGCTTCTCCAGCTCCTGCTCCAGACGGTGGTTCTCCATCTTCCTCTGGTGCTCCAGCAGCTCCTGCTGATGCTTCAGTGCCAGGAGCTCCTGTTGCTGCTGCAGAGAGAAACATCAGAATCACGTCAGCAAACCCTCAGGAGCCATTCACCACTTCCTAAGCCCTCGCAGCTAGAAGATAAGATAATGTCACTTGTTGTTTTTTGTTCTAAATGTTATCAATTGATTTTGTTTGTCTGCTTATGTTGCCATCTGAAAAAATTAAGTCTAACAGCTGTTTGAAGCACCAAAATAAGATCTTTGCAATTTTATAAAATCCTCAGGCCACAAGCTTAAGCTTTTAAATAAATATAAACAATTTAACTGGGAATGAGGCATTAAGCAAGACACATAACCCATCTGTTCACTCCAAAAAAAGCAAGAGAAGAGCATCTGCTAAATGCTTTGTATGTAAAAATCCTCAGGCTTTTATACTGAGGGATCAAACTCTGCTGTGCCCTGACGGTTTCTCCTGTAACCAAAAGGTCAAAAATAAATTCTCCACAAAAGCAAAATGCGCTCCCCACTGCCTGAAGTGGCCTTGACCCAGACCCAGAACTCACAGTGAGTCACTGTGGATAAGAGCATCAATTAAATGCTACGAATGCACACTTTCACCCTCTTCAGATTCTTAATGCATTTTGACGACTTGAGGCACCAAATCACGAGTCCAAATGACTTGTTAATGCCTCTGTAATATACAACAGGCAAGCTTTCTGTGAACGCACTCAGCCAGCCACATAATAGTCTCTCTGATGTGCCAAGGAATTGACAGTCTGCCCTCCTCTCCCCCTGATCATCGCACACCCGGTGGCAATGTTTTATCATTTTACTGCATCTGCATGTCATCTGCTTCTGATGGCGTTTCTAAATGCTGTAAATAGACACTCAGCAGCCAGGACATGCACCTGTCTAAACCATCAGGGCCAATCAAATGTTTGAGACAAGTTTTATTTTACATATCCTTTCTTTAACCAGGACTGTCCCATTGAGATTCAAGAGCTCCTCTGCCAGGGAATCCTGGTCAAGACGGTGGCACAAACGGCTTCACATACAAGTAAACGAGAAATTTTTCACAAGATTCATAAATTAAGAACATACACCATACAGTAAAAACAAACAAACAAAAAAGAGTGTGTGATTAAAACGCACGCTGAGGGTGAGAAGAAGGTCAGGGGTGATTGGGAGAGAAGCACATCGACTCTCTGGCTGGTCTGTTTCCAACCCCAAGCCTCGATCCTCAATCAAAGTTGGGGAGTGGCGATTGAGTAGGTGGGAAGGCTCAAAGTAAGCTCTACACCCACACACACGCACACAATGGCACACACCCAAAAACCCTGTGCTTCAATAGACCAGTGATCTACACACACATATTCTTTTCCCTTTTGACTAATACTCTCAGGAGCTTCAGGATATCTCTCACTTTATGGGTTTCCTGTTGTTAACATGCAAAGAGAGATGTGTGTGAATGTGTGCACACAGTGTGTGTGGCTGCCCCTAATGTGGAAGCAAACTGGGAATGCGTGTTACTGCGTGTTTGCTGACATTTGAGAGGATGTGTATGTTTTAATGCCAGTACAAGTGTGTGTGTGTGTATACACACAGGGGCTGTGAATGGGGCTGATTGAGGCCGGGCCTCCCTGCTCAGGCTGTGCGTCACTGGCCTCCACCTGAGTGGTCCATCAGCCCCACCACAGCCCAGACAGCATCACTCATCCACTAACATCACAAAACAACCCAACAATCCCAGTCTCTAGTAGAAACACAGCAAAGACTGAGTCCACATGTACCACTGACCTGCACGAGTGTCTGCTTATCAAACCAACAGCCTAGTGAAAGGAAGTGAGGAAAGAAGACAGGAAGGAAGGAAGGAAAGAGGGAAAGGGAAAGACCAGAGGGGAAAAGAAAGAAGAAAAGCAGGAAGATGACAAGGAGACACTACAGAAGGTAGGACGGAAGTGAAATATAAAAGAAGGCACAAGAAAGAAAGAAAAATGAGTGAAAATGAGGAAAGAAGGAAAAAAGGAAGATACAGAGGGAAGGAGGAAGACAAAGAAAAACGTCAGAGAAGAAGGAAGAGGGGAGAGAAATGAGAAAGTAAGATCAACAGGAAAGAAGAAGGGAGGAAAGGAAAAAGGGAAGGAAGGAGAATGGGGTGAAAGAAAAGAAGCACAGGAAGAGAGGATGAAGGAGGAAAAAAGATGAAAGCAGGAACACAGGAAGACTGATGCAGGAAAGAAGAAACAGATAAAGGAAAGAGAACATTAAGGAGGGAAGAGGAAACTCTCCATTTTTAGACACTTTATTCTAAGTTGTGCAAAAGTAGTTCAGCTCAATCTGTGTGCACTACACTTCATATTACAGCAGTAGAAAAGAACAAACAGTGGAATATTTTTATATGATACCTCAGCCCCACAGGAGAGCCTCGCTGCTCTCAGGGGCCCTGCTGTATTAAAGCAGCAGAGTGTGGGCGTACTGATCTAGATTCACCGTGTATTTCCAGGTCACTACGATATGGGCATGTGCTCCTAGCTTAGTCCACTAAAAGTCATGTGCTGCTCAAAATGCTTCTGTTTACTGTCTAAAAAGCAGATATTCTCTACATGGTTTACAGCAAGACTGGTGCACAAGATTCTGCAACACACCACCAGAGCCACAAAGGACCATTTTTCATGTTTTCTGAATCTAAACTTATCCTTAAAGTGCTGTCATCTGCCCCTGAAGCTGCAGTAAATGAAGCCAAAGTGCATCCTTGTTCTCTCTTCCCTCTTTACTCAGAGCAAAGACATTTAAAGCTGATGGAGCTGCTTTCTGTTGGTGAGTTTAATTTGTTAATGAAGAATCTTGTGGCCAAATTAAGAGCCGTCTCTGCTCTGTTTACTAAAATTTTAAACAGGTTTGAAGTCTAAGTCTGTTTGCACAGTTTGACCATATTTGTTTTTGTGCACATTTTGGCTGCTGCTGGACTGTAGCTTTAATTATTGATGATTAATTATTGAGGTTATTTTCTTTATGAAAATAAACTATCTTTGAGGTGGCTGTCATGCTGTGTATCTACAGGAAGAAGGTGAGTTGTAATGTGGGTGAACACGCCTGAACAAGAAGGCAATCTGAACCAAGTATTATACAGTATCATACGTACATTAAAAGTTTTGTCAGCAATTAAAGAATCTTGTTGTAGACAATGAACATCTGAAAATCTGATTCTGAGCTTTATTTGAACTTTATTTTCCGACCTGTGGTGTTGTTTGCAGAGCTCTGTATTTGGGTCATATGAATTTGTGGTGTTTTGACAAGCCATGCAGGAACTGTAAAAGATGTACCTTAATGTGTTCCTGCAGCTGGGCCTCGTGCTGGCGGGACAGCTGCTCGTGCTGTCGCTGGAACTCAGCAATGAGGATCTGCCTCTGGATCTGCTGCTTCTGCTTCAGGGCCAGCAGCTCTTGCTGCAGCTGCTGCTCACGCATCGAGGCCGCCACCACGACCCCGCCAGCCTGGCCTGTTCCTCCGAGGGAGCCGGGTGACTGCTGTCCAGGCGGGGAGAGCGAGGACACCTGCTGCTGCTGCTCTTGCTGGTGATGGTCCACGCTCAAGTCCATGGGAATGGCGGTTGGAGGGAGACGTAAAGGCAGTGCTGAGTTGATGTCCACTGCAAGGATGGAGAGAGGAACAAAGAAACAGCAGTGTAATCACACAGGACACTTTGAGGATAGTGCTGGTCCAGAAGAAACACATGTGCTGACTCTGAACTGAGAACTTCATCACTGTCATCTCAACACAGCTTTTTTTTTTTTTTTAAACAGTCAAGAACAGACAAAAATAATCACGACACAGTAATATTCAATATACACACTTATTTATTACCGTTAATAATTTACTAACGTTTTCATTAACCAAAACTTACAGATGAATAAAGTGCGAGACTTGTGCCAGATGGTGTCAGGATCACTGACCCTAACACCTGCACACTGTGACTCAGCCATATATTGTCCTGGATGCTCCTGACCCTGTGATACGCTACTGTACATTGAACCTACAAGGCACACTGGTGTTTGTGTAGTGATTAGAAGTGTGAAGAGAGACTGTGTGCAACTGGATGGGATCAAACCAAAGCTCTTCAAAATGTTACTCACTGGCTGTACCTGCTCAGGGAGAGAAAACTGACCATTACTAAACAGATGCCTGGTGGCATCAATCTGCAGCACTTCTGAAATGGATTTGACAGTGATTCTAAGTTTTGTGACTTTAATGAACAAGTTCTCTAATTTTTGTCAGCTCTTCTGCACCTTTACATCAAGCTGCATATATTTAGAAACATTATGCTGTGTACACACAACTTCAATCTGTAAAAATCTGTAGCAATAAAAAGTGAGCCTTTTTCTCCTGATCTCTCCCATAAAAACCTGCAACACACACACACAACCTGTGGCTGATGCTGCAGTTATACATGAAGCCCAGCGTCATCTCACAAAGATTGCATTGACCCAGCGAGGTGCAGACCTTGAGCTGGGCCAGCCACCCACAAATCACTGCACAAGAAGCCTTCCAATCAAGCACATTCCTCCCCATTAAATCTCAATAAATAGCAGCCGATTGGCTGATTATTTACCTACATGTCTGTTTACTGAGCCAGAGACACTTGCCTGTGCTAATAAAGTGTACCTTTATCATAAATGCACTTTACTGTCAAACAGCCACTCAGCCCTGCCTTGACAAACTGATTTGACAGATGTCTGACATTTCTGTCTTTTCCATTCCAATTATTAAGATGGGACCAACTACTCTGCATCTGTCAAACCCTGACACAGGCAGGCTCTCATCAGACTTCATCCATGATACACCACTCTCTGAATTGTGCTACTTTTGAAAAACAAAGCTGTAAAGCATGCAGCAATGCAGCAGATGAAAGCTTGGAAAGAGCCTTGTTCTTCCTCTATCATCCACTGCAGACTAACAGTAACCGTGCATCAATTGTGATTCAAGTCAGATGGCACCTTTAAGGACCTCACTTCCTCTTTGTGTGTTCATGCAGCAGGTGAAATAACCCCCCACTGCTATTATCCATGCCATAGGAAAGCAGAGCAACAGCATGCAACAGGTCTTTAAGGACTGCTGTTATGTGGGGACACAGTGTGTCAGCAGCTGGCGCAGTCTTGTAATCTGTGAAAATTAGTGAAAAGGAGTCTGCTCCTTTGAACCCATGAGATGTGAGGTTTGACATTTCCCACCCATAATATGCCTTCTGTCATTCCCTTCCTCCGCCCAGTCTCCTTCCACTGTTCATTTCCTTCCAAGAAAAAGAGCTAGATTTGTTGCCATTTTTTGAGTCTGCCTAACAAGGTGCCCAATATTTAATTAAATGCGGTGACGCCTTCAGTTTTTGACTGTTCTCTGGCCCCTGTTCATTTTACAAGCGACAACGGTAATGGTTTGGCAACTGATGAGACGAGAAGGGAAGGAGAGAGGGGGGCTTGTTAGGAAAGACTAACTCCTACAATTGTGACTCATTCGGCAGAGAAAGTTTGACAACAATATGTTGGATCTGAAAATAATCAAAACTTTACACTAATTTTTTTTTATGAAATTATCTGACTAATTTCTCATCAAAAATTCTTCTTGCAGTCAGGTCTTGATTTTATCTGGATCTCTGAGAGTCACTTTGCAGTTCGAGATCCTGAGTCTTCTTCACAATGACAAAGTGCTGGCTGCGAGGTGAATGGAGAAGGGACTCCATATTACGCCTCCAGGGTCAGGTGCTAGCTAATGTCAAATATAAACCTGCACAGTGACAGATGATGTCAGGATGGAAAAAGGCCTAATTTGGCTTTTTTTTGGCCATTTTTCCGCAGCTAATATTAGTTTTAGCATCCCATTATTTTATGTCAGAGCTATTAGACAAGGGAAAAAAACGACAAGACAGGAGAAATGTGATTATGACTGAAAACTGCACTAGTGGCTCCAGTCCTGGCTAATGCAAATCCATAACTCATCCACACAAATGTGCACACACACCCTCCCTGTACAAAATGTTCCTCTACAAATATTGAGTCCCTGACACAACACAAACAGCCTCGCACACTTATTGATGGTGACGCACACAACTGCACAAACACACTTCATATGGCATCTCTGTCACATCGACAGCGCTAATTGCGCAACACACAAAGCGGGAGATACAGAAAGAGAAAGCGAGAGAGGTGGGAATCTGTGCTGTCGTTACCCATCAGCGCTCTCTTCCTCCTCCTTTCTCCAGCCTCCTCTCTTCGTCCTCTCCTCCTTATCGCTGCGTCTCCTCCTCCCTTCCTCCTTCAGTCTATAACAGGGAATGACACTGCGTTGCCTTTCCTGTTCATCTGACTTGTCGTCATATTCTCTGACTCAGTCACTTTTGGCTCTTTGCTCATCCCTGCTCCTGTTTTAACCTGATGGGTGTCTATCGCCTCTCTCTCTCCCTCCTTCTACTCCACTCTCTCCTCCCCTCGGCCTTCATTTGCCCAATGGTGACATCACAGGGCAGTCTCAGGCATGCAGCCTGTTTATTCTGCAGCCCTCTGCTTTTCCAGGAACCAGCGTCACACTCACACACACACACACACACAGAGTGCACTCTCTCACTCACTGTCTCTCTCTTACCCTCTCTGCTCCTTTCCCTGCCCGACCGGCTTTCCTTGCTTCTGTAGAGAGCAGGAGAACCCTCCATGCCAGTTTGTAGTGCACAGAATATCACTGACTCCTTCTCCCGCTCACTTTCAGGTGTCCCATTTGGCTCATGTCTCCTTTGGCTCACCCCTCTTCTCCTAAGCACCCCTCTCAGTCTCTGGTGCAGTTTATGATTGTGTGCTCAAATTCCTGGTCTTGAATTTGCCTGCATTTCCCAAACAAATGAATCCACAAAATGGTTCCCCACAGGGAGACTCCCCAGATATATAAACCCTGGGTGTCATCATCAAATTAGAGACTAGTATTAGATTATTATTGTTGCTTTTTAAACATGTTTTAATTCATTGTTTTCTTCATCGCTTCAAGCCAACATTGCACTTATTTTAACAGTTTAAGTTCTGTTTAAGTGGTATCCAGTACGTGTGTGCAAGCATTTGTATATTTGGATGAACGGGTCACAGAGGTTTCTACTTTTATACATTAGCAGTACAGACCATTAAAATATTTTTAAAAAATGCTTAAATTATATCAAGAAACCTACTTTTATAAATGTTAAAACTCACACAACACAAACTTAACTCAGCAGAAACATGCATGACATGAGGCCTGTGAAACTTGACTAAGAAACTCTGACATCAGCACATCTTTGTATACTAGCCATGATGTCAAATACGTATCTCAGTTTACTGATGTGCACTAGATAGAGGACACGAGGGGGTACTGGCACAAAACCAAAACAAAGACCAACGTGCTGTCTCAGAGGAGACCAGAGGGGCTTCCAGGAGTCCTACACAACTGATAGCTCTGCAAGAATCAGAGGGAATCTCCACGACAGTTGCATTTAATAAACATCACAAAAGAGTCTCACCACCAGTGTGTATTTGTAGCATTACTACAGGTTAGTGCACATTGGAGGTTTTGTGTTTCCTCTAGCTTCATCTGTGAACCTCCATCCTCCTTCTTGCTCCATCCTCTAGCCCTGCTCAGCAGCTCTCTCCCACCTTTCTTCCCTTCATCTCTCTGTAACAAATCACAATCTGTTTACAACCCCTCGGGTGCACTCCACAACTCTTCTGGCTCCAATTGCAGATCTATTTATACCAGACAATGCAGAGGGCTGGCGTCTCTGATTTGAGAGTCAGTTCGCCAAATGTATATCCCACGGTCTGACTGCCTGAGCTCTACACTCGTTAGGCCTAATAGATGTCATACTGAGTTGAGCAGAGCTGTTTAGAGAGGCCTCCGTTAAACGTGGCTGAGGCCTTTTTTTAAACCATGCAAAGAAATTACAAAGAAGAGGAGATGTTCTGCATGGGGTTTCACAGTGAATTTAGTAGAAGGGTAAGATGAGAGGCAACAAGCAGCACATCTGCTGTGGTGGAAAATAGCTGTGGTCGGCTTCCTGATGAACATCAGCATATGTTACGTTCTCCTGCTGACTCTCGACTGCTCTAAATATCAAGAGTTTTGCGCCCGTGCAAAGAGCCTCTGGTTATGAGCTTGTGGCAAAGACTGACTGTGATCTAGCTCCAAAATGGAACCCTGACCTCTTAAAAAACTAGACAGAACTCTGACAAGGAAAGGAAGAGGGAGGGTGAGACTGGGACGTGACAAGGTGCAGTGAGTCTTGTTCTTCCTAAAGCAAGCGCTGGCTTGTCACGGTCTCAATGACCTCATACAACGGTCTGCAGCAGGAAGGAGAAGGGTGCGAGGCAAACAAATAACACTGAGGACAGAGAGCGAGTGAAGGCTGAGGCGCAGTATGTGCACAAGCCCATCAGCCTTTGGACCAACACAGGTCTAGCATGTCTCATCTCGCTACCTGGATCAACACAGGAAAAAGGAAAGTGATAAACACTTCAGATCCATGAGTACAAGCTATTTACAAGTACATGCTGTAGTGGGAGCTATACTAATCATTTCTACTCATGACTCTATGCAGAGCAGATCATTATTGAGAAAAGAGGTTGGGATTTTCACTGGATAAATACTGGTTAAACTTAAAAATAAATAAATAGGAAAGAATTTAGATCAAACAGGCGGGTTTACCTTATCCCATTCTGATGGCGCTGTTTGGGGCTGCAACTAAAGATTATGTTCATTATCAAGGGACCCGTTAAATTTATAGAATCATTGTCAAAAAATAATGAAAAATTCTATCCTGCCTTCCTATGGCCACTGAGAATAAAGCAGCAAGTTACTAAGAATGTATCTGCAGTAAGAAAATATCATGTGAATAAACTGCATCAACATACTGCATTTCTTCCTTTTACTAATTAGTCTTACTTTATTCCTGTGGCTCATCAGTTCACAATCCAAATATGCTGTTGTTGGTGTGGAGTTCTTCTTTCCTGTATGCTTGTGCACTTTTTGTAATCCAAAAAGAAAATATAAAGAAAACCACTAAAATCTGACACATTCAGTGGTTTGTCAATCAGGTGTGGATTCATTTTCTCTTTAAGAGTTTCATTTTCAGAAAGGACAGTCATTTAAAATGACCAGGGCAACTTAGGCGAAACTAAACTCAGGTGTTCATTTGAGTCATGTTACTTGACCTGCAGGTGCAGCAACCGCTGCTTTGCATCACCCCCCCCTACATGTTGCCTGCTTAAATGCATCCCCTGGCATCTGACTACATTAAGATTAGATGGCAAAGTATTTAGCAGCTTTTGCATTTGCTATGAGGAAACTATTCCAAGCTGAAGTGGAGGGATGCTACAGAGTGCTAGGTGCTATAAATACTCTTAGACAGGTGCATTCTCCAGATCCAACGGGCTCGGGTCACACACACGCTACCAGCGTGGAGGCCTCAGCAGCTCTGTATCCAAGACAACAGATTTCAAGAATATCTGATGAAGTGACTCTAGTGAATTTCAATATTTTATCAGCCTAGCTGGAGGCGTGCAGAAAATAACGCCAACAACAACATGAGAAGCCTGTGAAGGTCTGGACAAGAGAAAGATGCTTTGGTGAAAGTAAAGATACTTAGTTGTTGATTTGTTCTCCTGCAGCAACAGGCTGGCGGAGGTCACTGATGCTCCAGTGCTACACTGCAATTAGGATTCACACTTTATCATTATCTTTTAAATGGAAGATTCAAACTGTGGTAAAAAAAAAAAAAAAAGAAACAGAACTGTTTAGGCTTCCTCATTATGGATACAGCACCTCACAATCAGGTCTCTTTCAAATGACCTCATCTATGTTTATGCCCCTTTCAGTTCTGGACTCCTGCCTCCATCTAGACTACTACATCTCTGCACCTTCCTCACAACTATAATCTTCCATTTGCACTGGAGGTAGAGACAGCTATTATAAATACACTTGGTGATGTTTTGTCTGTGTCCGAGCAAAGGAGACAGAATACTGACAGCAGATGGGCATTCAGAGACAGAAACCTGTTTTTCCAATATTTTCTGTCCACAAGCGGTAACTCTGATTTGTTTTGGGACCATCAAACTGTCTTAGGAGCCTGCAGCAAACACATCAACTAAATGAACAATTGCTTATTTTGCTCTATATTTCCAGCAGGCGTTCCTCTTGAGACAACAGTCACACAAGCCACTACATTCAGCTGCTGGATTTCCATTCAGCAAAATGGCTCCATGAGACAAATGAGAATGAGAAATATATGTATTAGTAACATGGATTCTGCTTCGGACTTAAAGAAACCAATAGCGGTCAATTACGTCAACTGTATTTGCGATTTACAATTGTCATAATGCTGCTGACACTTCAAAAAAGACCAAATTATAATTTCAGTGAAACAATCACAACAACCGGACACCTACATGGAAGGATGCAAAGTCGTACAGGATGTGGTTAATAGTGAAATCACGTAGACACACGCACACAGGCTGTGGTTTACACAAGCTCATGCACACACAAACAAACAGGGTCCAACCTGTTGGGATGTGGTTGAGCGCTGATGTCTTCAGAAGCTCCAGCGGCTGCTCCTTTCCCAGGATCCCCTCTGTGGGAGAGAGAGAACACTCCCCTTCAAATATGGTCCGCAACATTAAGACAAGCTTCCAGCAACAAACCTGCTAATCAGGCAGTTAAGACCACAGTCCATTAGTGGGCTTCAGGTCATCTGCACAGCGGCAAGCACACGCCGCGGCGTCGCTGCTGACGCCTGAGCAACTGCCCGATCCATGACCAGTAAATGAACAAGCTGTGAATTTGCAGAGATGCTTGGCTGCAGAGGTGTATCTAAAATAAGCCTGAAATCTGAGGGATACCGAAGGAGCAGCCTTCATCAGCTCATGTGTGATTGTGTGTGGATTCAGTGTGCAAGGAGGGATGTTGGGGCTCGACTGATACTGCCTGTGCTT